TGTGCATGGGAAACCACCGTTCAATAAAAGAAGTTATAAACTATTGTTCAAAAACTCATACATAATTAATGAGTTATTAGCCCAATAGAATGAGCCTATTTGGTCACATGCATAGGTCCATGACCCTAGCAAAGGTCTCAGGTTTGATACCTGATCATCAACCAATGCAGGATGTCAACCGATTGCATAAACAGCCAACARCGRTTCTATTTTACTTTATGCGTATTCAATGTGGKATGACAAGAGTGCTTTGTAAAGTGATTCGCGCATGATCARTTTGCCCCATTTATCTCAGAACACATTTGTATGTCAATTTCTGCAAGAATTTTAAGTTTCAAATTAGTGTTGGAGTTTTTGAAGCCGTTTAAAACACTCAAGATCGTGTTTTAAACTATACATATAAAACAAAGAAAATCAATTTTGGAAATGTAGACTAAAACTTGCATAGAATGGAAAATTTTGCAGTGAATTTCTCCATAATAAAGTCCCCAGGAATTTGAAAAGCTCATTCTCAATGGTCTCATCAAATGTTATAACGTATTAGAAAACCTAAAATGAAACACTCAAATCTGTTTTTAAAATACTAAACCAGTGTTTATACCTAAAATCATACTTTCTTTTTACCTGTATTAAACCATGGTGACAAATTACTTATAGCRTTCTTGGTTGGATCRTTTCTTGATGCACCAAAGTTTTTGAGTCTTACTTTGCAGAATGACTCCAGCATATTTAAGCCCGCTGCAGTTCCAGGCTTGGCCCAATCTACCTCAGGTACACTAGAATCCACTTCTATGAAATCCATGGCTGCACTCCAGTCAGCTCCCTTTGGTCAAAAAATATGTTTTATAAACAATTTTAATTGTTATGTATGAAAGCTTGAAACAACACATTTTACTGTTAGTAACAAATATTTGGATTTGGCAAGACCAAGTCTAGTTTGAGTTGTCAATAATTTTATTTTTTTAGTATAAAAACATAGTAATAAAAACTGACAAATTTTGGTAATTACTTTTGACTTCACTTCTGTTTGATGTGGATGTTTGATAACAGGTGGAAACTCTGTCAGGAATGACTGCAGAACTTTGTGGATTTTAGGTCGAATGGTACGAGCACCATATTCTAACTTTGGAGAAGCTTCCCAACATGGAACAATATTATGAGCATCAACCTACAACAAAGAATGCAAAAACAAACAAAAAAAATAATAAACAAATATGAATGATTATACAACAGATAAACAAAGAATAACAATTTTTTAGAATTACATAGTGCTATAACTATATTATTAACTTATAATTCTGTAATATAGAATATTGCATTGGGTAAGGAATTATCTGATTTATCTAATCACCTGACAGAGAGGGACATCTTTTGGAAGAGACTTGACAAACTCATTGACCCATTTCATTGGAAGTCGTAATGGGCAGAAATCACATACAATTCCACCAAAACCAAACTCCTTAACAAATCCAGGTAAAACTTGGTCAGGTTCACCAAGAAGAAGATGAAATTTTATGTCTAGATCTTCTAACTCCTGTAAAATTTTGTAAGGATGTTRAATAAATGATTTGTAAGACTGGAAAAGATTATGGATTGTTTAAAGTAGTCATGTGAGTCAACTKAATTTCAARTGATCATCAACRGTTAGTGTAYATTTTTTGAGTGTTTACGTCAATGTTGCTTTGCTGATATATCAATGGAAGGGACAATATAGGCAACGTACAGCGACACCATTTTTGCAGCAAAGCATGATGGTAGTTGCTATCCTCACACTTTTTGTATCCGCTACAAAATTCCTCCTAAGCCATAAAGGTGACTCTAAAGGAGATATTTCATGATCTATGTAAGTCTGAGGACTGCAACTACTATTATGATTTGCAGCACAAAATGGCATTGCTGCACATTGCCTATTTTCAGAGAAACACTCTGCAGACACTTACATGAAAACACAATTTTTTTTACCAAAAACACCCAATATTTTATGTATTTACCTGAATTTTTTGAAAGGAACCTGAAATTGCCTCTTGCAAAAGAAGCTTATAACTAAAGCCCTGTTACAATTTGTTTACCTTTTCCACAAACTGAAGCCCTTTAATCATGAAGCCATACTTTCTTATGGTTGCATCAAGGAATTGTTTTGGTAAACAAAAACACACATGTAGAGGAACTTGTTGTTTTAATGCCAATCTTTGTGCATACAGCAATGCCCAGTTATCTATGGAATAAGAAGCTTGATGATATAGATCTTGCAGAATAGTGTACTGTTAATACAATTCTAACAATTCAAGTCAAGCTTTGCGTCACACCAACTTAAAACATAAGTCACGTTACATATGTCATGTACTTTGTTTTGTTAGGCCAATTTATGCACCTCAGGGGCGGATCCAGGATTTTCTTCAGGGAGGGCCGTGGGGCTCTCAGGAGGGGTAGCAACCCACAAAAATTATTATCATGAAGATATACAATATTATTATATATTACTTTAAAAGTACCGAAGGATACAGATCTCAGTAAGGGGAGCACACCCCCTGCACCCACCAGCTGGATCCGCCCCTGTTATAATATTTTCTTTGATACATAGTGTATATCAATTCAAAAGTCTACCTTGGACACGTTGATCTCGCCACATCCAGTATAAAATGCCTTTGCAATCATCCTTCATGTCTGTTGTGCTCGTCAAAAGACGAACTCGTTTCTTATTGAACTTAAAGTCCAAAACAGAATCGCATACACCTTTTCTTTTCTCGTTATAATGCTTCATGATGTCTATCTCTTCGYCGCTTCCTTTGCTTTCCTTTTTCGCTTTCTTCGATGGAGGTTCAGAAGACGCCATTTTGCTCGAAATTGAGATGATTTTYTTCCGATATTTGCAGAAAAAAAAGCGCCGATGACTGATCAGGTACCGGGAAAACAGGATTATAGAYTTGTACGWAATTACAARTAGTAAATAAAAGGTGATTTCGAGGATAAATAAACAATGTTATCACTTGATTCTGTTACGTAACAGAGCACATGCATCAACTACGCGTATGTCATAACACTTTTATTTCCCGCCTAAAGTGTAGTACCGCTGACCAGATGAAGAAAAAAATAGTGACAAAATAACAATTTAAAAGTATTAGATTTTGCGTCGTAAATGAAACGTTTCGATATGTTTAATCATTATAAGCTGTTAGGAAAATTTCTATTCTACTTCCGCAATGAAAAAAAAAGAAAGAAAGAAAAAAAAGAAAAAAGAAGAAGAAGAAAAAAAAAAAGAATAACAAAATACAAACGCACACACCAAAAAGAAACAAAACAAACAAACACAATCACAAACAACAGTGGATGGTTCACCATTTTCGCATCACGAGTTATAAATATTACGATTTTTGAATGCATAGCTATCTAACTATTGTTCATTGTCAGTCCTCTGTAAGCAAGCGATAATATCATGTATCAGTCAAAATGTCAAAGACCCCAACATGATATGGTGGCATCTTGTATCACTCTGTGGACTTTAGTCCAAAGAATGCTAATTTACGAGACCGTGACGTGCAATTTTAATAACTGTTTAGCTAGATTTCATTATTCTAGTGCTTTGCCAGTTTTAGGGATTTCAAAAGTTACCAAGGCAACGTCATATGGTTGATAATTAATTGTATAAATAGGTCATTAAACAGGTTCTTAACATTCAAGCACAGTGTTTATGGTCTTTAGGGGTGTTGTTTGGCTAATGAATGAACTCTGAGTTCATGCAAATCAAAATGAGCCAAACCAATGGGTCATTTTCGGAGCAAACATCGTCAGACCGCCGCGATGAGGATGTCGTGATCGTCAAAATGAATATGCCGCGAAGATTTAAAGTCGCTCCAGGGATTCCAACACAATCCCAAGGAGACTTGAACACAACAAAAAGATCCTTAAATCTTAATTTAGTACTTACCAAGCCAAACGAAGAAGAATTGAAACGKAATTCCGTGCAAGATGAGTTTGCGACAGTGACMGTAAATCTACTTTCTCGACCAAAACAACAACAAGAAGAGAGTGAACAGTCAGAGAACGCGGATAATGACAAGAACGATATCCGTGACGACGTTGACATGCAAGAAGACGACGAAGACAGCTCTGAAAACGAGGATAGCAAAGAACCAGAAGAATACGAAGAATCAGATAGCGAAGAGTCGGAAATTGAAACCAAGTCAGATCTACGAACAAAGACAYCAAGTAGTGTCCATAATGTTTCTGTAGTTCCCTTGGTTTTGCCAAATATTTCATTACCGTGCTCTAAGTGCTCATCTTATATCAATATTTGTCATGTAAGAAGTCATAGAGACTTTCACACTGCCTTGCAAACTTTTAAATTTGCGTCAAACTTCACGCCACAAAATTTGAAAATTTTAATCAAAAGAAGAAAAACACTAATAAAAAGGCTCCAAGAGTCAGTAAAACATACAAATGGGAAAGGATTTGTGGACAAAAACTTACAAAAGATAAACACAGCATTTGAAGTTTTAAAATCGGAACTGGAAGGCACTGGAAACACATATCGAGTGTTGGACACTGATCTAAGTAAGTATGAATTTCTATAACTGGTACTGACAAAATTATGAAAAAATCAGCTTTCTTTCCAAAATACTCAATTTTTCTAAAGATATTAAAGCCCCACGAGCAGGAACAATACCATAAGTAACTTTAATATACGTAGTATTTTAGAAGCAATGAATTCAGACACCAGACATCAATTTTAATTAAAATACGACTAATTGAAAATCACTTATTTGCATCTTTTGTGATATACGCGGATGGCGGCGGATGAACTAAAAGTAAGATGCAAAACACTGTTTCAATACAAACAAAACAAATGTAAAATATCCAAGTAAATATTAAGGTTAAAAAAATAAAGCAAATAATAAAAAAATCTAAACAGACAAAAAGGATCAAGAATGTTATCAGGAAGTGTCTAGGTTGAATACGTAATGCGTTGATTAGTGACATGTCCTGGATCTTATCTAATCGAAATATATGTCCATTTTTATCTCAATAGATCCTCAAATTAACAAGGTTTCCAACATAGAGATGTGCTGCACACTTGCTGTCGGACTGTGCGAAGAAAGCAACTCAAGATGGAAAAACATGGAGGAYACTCATTCCTACGAAGATCAGTTCCTCGATGATCCACCGTGCTGTTTYATGGGTATTTACGATGGCTACTGTGGGAATGTGACAGCCCAAAAGTGTGCAAAATATCTTCATGTTTTTCTTAAGGACGAATTACAAGAAACAGTTGTTAAATTAAAGAAACAATTATCTAAAGAATGCATAAGTGCTGCATTTAAGAGAGCTTATCATAAGTTCCAGAAAATGTTGCTCRAAACGACTGAAGATGARGAACARTCGCGRAGTCGYTGGAGCGGCTGCTCTGCTCTGACGTGTCTGTTGACATCYGACGCATGTTTTCTTGCTAACGCAGGCAATGTTGGCGCGCTTCTAGTGCGAGAYAAAGGGATTGTTAAAGTACTCGCCAGTAGGCATGATCTTTATAACAAGAAAGAAAGAGAYAGGGTCCGTCGATGCCAAGGCGTGATTGTGAAAACAGAAAAATGCGCCCTGATAAATGGCGCTCTAGGGACCACCAGAGGCCTTGGGAACATAGGGGATATAAGAATCAACCAGTGTATTATCAATGATCCAAAATTTAAGCACGTGAAGCTTCTTGATGGCGACCAGATAATCGTTCTTGCATCCAGCGGACTGTGGAAGATGTTTTCATACGAAGAGACATCAATGCTAATATTTGGTTTCTTTAGGGAAATCAAAAGGGACATCCTCAATGGAATTGTTTATGGGGATCCGATCCCATGTCTCCTAGAAGACGGACATCTTGCCAGTGAGTATGAAGATGTCTACGAAAGGTTAGACAACCGACATTCCTACTTTGAACAGTTTCTTAAGCCAAAGAAGATCACAGAACGTAGRTACACCACTGTAGGCTTTCGRATGTACTCGATTCATACAATCGAAGAAGAAGTCGAGCAAAAGCCAGTAATTCACGTATCAATCAAGATTCCACGCTGGAGCAAGAGAATAGGAAGGCGTATGAGTGACACGTGCTTGAGTTACCATGGGGAAAGTCTCCATGGTGATGAACAACGATGGGAAGATGATGAACAGTCAAGTGAAGATAGTTTTGAGGAACTCGAGGGAAGATGTTGTTTTAAGCGAAGGCATTCCATGCCAAACTCGGCAAGTCTCGTCAAGCTGCATGGTTTGTTGAAAACTGATTCACTTTTGACAAGAAAAGATAAAGAGAAACTCTTAGCGAAGTATTTATCCAGGAGACTAGTGAARKCATCAATTTTAGCAGGTTCACTAGACAACATCACAGTGTTTATTGTTCTTCTACAAGGTTTTTCACTCGTCAACGTCCTTCTCATAACGGAACATTTACTAGAAGCACTTGACGACTAACGACCTCCTGATACTTCCGGTTAAAGGGGACTACAACATATTCAGTATATTCTATAATGCGCTCAATATAGTGATTCATTTTGTAGATTGCAGAGTTAATTATTCCTTTTATTAACCCTAAAATAGTTCTAGAAAGCGATGCTGCACATTCTTCAGTTTTTTAAACCATCTTCCAGATGCAACGCATTTCTAAGATCCACAAAGTAATGCACACCATATTGCTTACAAATGATGAAAGTATTCTCTTTCCTCAAGATGTTGGTATTTTCAAAGCTCCAACCAATAAAAAATTAAAAAAAATATATGAATAAAAATGTTAATCAAAACACGGACGCATGGAGTCGATTACGATTTGAATCGTTTTTGTAATGTCAGTGGTGTGATTAACTCCTCGACTACCTACAATATTCCAAGTCTGTACTCGTCCACCACATCATTTAACGTAGAAAAAGCATCATTAAAATCATCCTAAGGTATAAAAAATATTATATATCAATAAAAAAACATTAAATGAAAAGATGATAATAGATAAACAGACAGCAAGCTCGCTTTGGTAAGTAACTAACTGGGAAAGGTGTACGAGTTCCCACGAGTTAGCCACTGAGCACCACATATTTCATAGTGCAATCATTATTTGTCTTACCTTAGTACAGCCATGTTTCTCATACCAGTGTACATAAGCACCAACTTCATACATTGTTTTTGCCTTTACCATTGTGTCCTGAAGAAACTCAATGATTCGACTGGAGTTGAGACAAAGTGTAAGGGATTGTGCACCATATGAGCCTGCACCACTGTATTTACCTAGCAAAAATGAATGAATAAAGTTAGTTTCATGGCACGACTAGTGCTAATTGCACTGGACTCGACATGATCAAGTCTGGTTATAGGTAGATTMCTGGACTKGGKKATCGCCATCTATAATATGTTGTCGTTGTTAAAAATGCTCATTAATCTGCAGYCCCTTACTTATCCAATAATCAATAGGAAATGGATTCCATTCCACACAGCCAAGTGAGGTCTTGAGTCTTTCTTCAATTTTTGCCAAAGAGTCAATGAAAGGAGTTTCTCCAGTGCCTCTTGCAATAAGTAAAGCATTTAATGAGGAGAATTGCTTGCCGCCTTTGTCGTACCGATGTGTAGAGTGAAGTAAAGATTGAGTAAGTGATTCCCAAGTGCATTTAGGCTTCATTAAATGGTGAATGGTTGTAAACTTTTTTGATGGTTCAGGACAAACAGACCTGAGCATTTCCCATGGTTCACTACCTCKGGTTGCATTGTCAAATTCTACTTCACTGAAAACAAACTTGTCTTTGGTTCTTGATTGAGAGATGCTTTCAGAGCTTGCTTCAGGTGTAATTCCTCTATATCGCATCATTGCAGAAACTGTAGCTCTAGGTTGCCTCTGCATTGCTGCACTTGAATCATCAAAGRTTGAAGCATCTGAACAACTTGTTGATGTAGACATCATAGAGCTTGCTGACCAGAGATTTCTTCCTGATCTGACAGACAAACTATGAGGACTTTCTTTTCTCTCTGGCAATGAATGCCTGTAAGATTGTTTCATGATTGAAGATGCATGTCTATCACTCTTTCTTAGAGTGGATTTATTTGAAGATTTACTTGACGTTATCTTTTGGGGCTTCTCTTCAAGAGGAAGCAGCACYCCAGCAAGACTTGCAGCAATAAGTTGATTCATTTGCTTTAATGATACATTACTTGATGTCTGTTGCTTTGCTGTGCWACTCATGTGAGATATAAGATGCCGTAAAACATCATCATTACTGAAAACTGTGATGCAGTCTGCATTTCTAAAATGAAAAAAATTATGTCACATTAATAATTGTACAAATAGTACAAATTGCATTATCTTTACTGCATTTTTCATAGAAAGTAAGTCATCTTTAGACAGAGTGTTTTTTTCAATATTGAGGTCAAGGCTCAGGCCAGGAAGCATAAGTTTTTAAGCTAAACCCCTTGCTTGATCTTACCTTTGTAGAGTAGCAAGACTTAAAAGAGAGTTATAATGCTGCAAGGGACTATCTCCAGACAGATGAGGTGATACAGCTACAGATGCAGTATGTGCCAAGGGAAAGGTGTCACGGAGTGTTTCAACAAGTCGTGAACCAAGTCCTGACCCTGTTCCTCCTGTTAGACTGTGGATAACTAGTGTACCTAGTAAAATACAATATCATCATCATCAATCCTCTTTACCCCCTTTTGGCTGCAAATTACAATATACCAAATAATAATGGGTCATTCTCAGCCATTRCCCCKGCATTTATCTCYGATATGCTATTTAAACTCAAAATCGTGGTCAGCAACCAGCATAAATAATAACTTAATATACCTGCAAAATAATCACATCTTTCCACTTCTTTTCTCATGGCTTCCACTGTTCTGTTCAAAAGAGAAGTTTCTTTAGTAATGTCACCATTTCCATAGTAGCCCATGGCAAAGTTATTCCCTCGTCCAGTTTGTCCTACTATCATATTTTCCTCTCTGAAGAGTTGGTGGTGTCGTTGATCACTTCTAGCCACATGTCCGATCACTTTGGGTTCACTRTCAACGCAAACACAACGAACTTTCCCATCTCTGTGACTCAAAGGATGCCTACTGCTRTGGTTATGAAGCAATGTCATAAGTTCGTGACCTATTTGGTTTCCACACTGTCCGACAGGCAGTAGAATTGAGGACATGTCAACAACAACAAAATATTGAAGCTGGTGTAATAACACTGAAAGCTAGGCCAAAGAAACTAGTGAAATTATGTTAAAAATATCATCTTCATATGGAACCCAAAGCCATCGATGGTTCTCACATTTTTATAACTTATAATCCATCATCAGATCACAGAAAAGGCCAGATATAATAAAAAGTTTGTTTACAACGACAAATCTCCCGCCATCTTGGATYCAGAGCCTCGACCTGGTTACTCGTTTAAACGTAAAAAGCCGTAATTGTGTACAGCGGTTGCAGTCAAAAATAAAACAAGAATTTTTCGCGAAGTCATTGTAAAGTTTTTGTTCTACTTTATTGATTAATTTCCCCTGTTAAATACCGGGAAAAATTTTGTTTGTGAAAATTTTAAGGTTATGAGGTAATTATGGCAGATATTGGTGCTCAATTTGAAGCAATTTTAGCTCGAGTACGCGAGCAATTGAATAAAGAACGGATAAGACTCTGGCTTCCTCCATTTACTGTGGAAGGTCAATCAAGAGGCAACTTTTCCGAGGTAAAGAGTTTATATTAATTGTAAATTTTATATTTCTTTCAATCCCTCCCCATTTCACTTAGGGCCGGTTCACACTTCGATATAGAAGAAGCAAAAGACTGGGCTACATGTAGATTCTAGAATACTTCCTCAATCTGCATTCTGTTGACATAGGTAGCTTAACAAAGAGTCACTATCAGCTTTTGCCATTTAGTTAGATAAGCAGATACATCTGGTGATACTTACTGTGGGTCTTGTTTAGCACTTTGTCATTTGGTATTCAGTAATGTCTTTGTATCATAAAGGCTATCACTTCAAAGTGACCTCACATATATTTTGGTCTAGCAGCCATTGAAAATAAATATTTTGTTTTTAAACAGGAGCTTGTATCGCAGTTTTCTAGTTCACTGGGTGTAGATGAAGCTGTTATTGTTGAGGCTTTGGAGAACCTACGGTTGCATGCCCTGGAAAAACTTGAAGCTAAAAAGAGATTTAGTGAACTGGGAGAAGCAACAGTGAAAGCTCGCCTGGTTGGAAGTCATAAAAAGATAGTTATACATACTCCTTTGAAAATTACTGGTGCTGATCTGAAGACTAAGTAAGAGCTAAAATATCAATTGATTTATTATTCAGTAGATCTAATATGAATTTCAAATGCTATTTAATTCTCCAAGATGTTTACTCTTGCAGGCATTATTCAGCTCATTCCAGGTCTCTCCCCCAAGTTGCGAAGAGACCTAAAACAAGACAAAGTGGGGGAGAGAATTATTGAATTATTAATGAATTGCTTTCTGTTAAATATTAGGTTAAGCAAAGAAACAGGAATTGATCCATTACACATGAAGCTCATCTGTAATGGAAATGTCATTGATGAAGGTAATGAAATATCAATATTTTAACTGGAGAATCCTTTTCCTGGAGTTTCCAAGTACAAATTGTTCAATTAATTGCTGTCTTCATTTTTAGATAATATTTTAGAAAACCAAAACATCAGGAACAATAGCCAGCTATTGGTCATCCATCTGTCTGAGTCAGAACTTGAAGCAAGACAAAAACAACAACTTGAACAAGAAATGGCTTCTCAAGTTTCTAGGACTAGGCATGCTGCAGAGGTTCTATCTAAAAGAATGGACGGTTTGTGCTTTTTTGCTTTCAATATTACCTATAATTATTTAAATTTTTTTAAAAACCATCTTTTAATTGGTTCATTATTAACATGTGATAAATACAATGGGTGAGCCGTAAAGTAGTAGGGAGGGAGGGAGAGGTGGGGCAGCTAACTTAAATGAAAAAAAAATTAATGTTGTTGACATTTTTATGAATCCTTAGGAGGAGAAAGTTTGAGAGAAAAATATTTTCTGGAGATCAGAGATCAGGAAGGTAGACCATTATCATTGCCAGAAAGTGAAAGAAAGGTATGATCTTCAAATATTGTTTTGCACCTTTTTTCTATTATGTGGTATTTGCAGGGTGCATCAGAACCAGGCCAGGGGGGCCAAGGGGTGCTAAGGATATTCCTGATGCAAACTGTTAAAATATTGAAATAATTATTGTAGGCATTAGCTCTTGCTATGACACTTCATGAGAAGGGGAAAAGCATACTCAAGCAGAACAGAAATGCAGAAGCTCTACTATATCTTCTTGAGGCAGACAAGGAGTTTAGGTTAGTCTTCTATAATGACAATATATTTTGTTTTATTTCAGTCTAGTTTATCTAGTTCTTTTGTGTAGACAGTGCAGAGCAGAAATTCTAAATGCCGTGGATAACTATGCAATTCTCTGTATGGATGTCGTGTGGTGTTATCTATGTTTGAAGAGTATTAGTGATCTTCCTGATGCTGGTGAGTTCCTTTGCCTTAGCTTGGCTTAACTATGCAATTCATCTTCATCTAATTAAAGTAGTTCTATCAAACAGAAAAGAGATTATGTACAAGCCAAGAATGTTTTGAAAAAAGTTATGGACCAAATCTTGAAAGGCTTAAAGCTGTACAGGTAATTGTGGCTTTGGTATCAGATCGGACCTCCATTATAAACAATATTACTAAGATGTTTTTCGTGTTAGGGTGGTGCTGGTAGAGAGCGGGCTTTATTTGTGCGACTGCATACTCTACAAGCTGTC